TATATATATATATATATATATATGTATATATATACATATATGTTTATAGATATATTTTTACGTTTTAATCAAAGGAAACTTGAATCTTGTCTCACACCTAAGGAATATTAAATATTCGTTCGATAAATTTTGAAGTTTATAACATTGATTGTTTATATAACACAATATTCCAAAATGAATAGGAGAAGTTTATCATTAGATCGCTTTAAGAATTATTTTATGCATGATTTGAATGCAGATAATTCATACATGTTTATTATATCAAAAGCGTCATATGAATTTAAGAAAAACATTTCTCAGAAATATTTCATAGGAATACATGGAAATAAATTATAAGATAACATTATTACTCTGCTTAAATAGTATTGTATATATACTTATCTTTTTCCTCTCCTTTTTTTCCTCTCCCTTTTCAATTCATAATTAATATTATTAATTATGAACAAAAAAGGGAGAAAGAAAATAATATTATTAATATTGTTACAATGACGTAGAAGAGAAAGAAGAGTGTGGTGCTACTTAAAAAATTCTAGAAGCTTTACGTTCCGTCTTCCGATAATAGGCCGTCCTGTTTCGATATTATCCATCCATTATTCATCTGGAATAAAAGTGGAATCTCTTGGAATCGCATTCGCAGTAAATCCGAACGGCGAAAAACGTCCGATTCAGATTCAAATGCTCATAGATCCCGCTGTAGATCCACGGGCATTTCGCAGTCCATTGTATTTATTGGTAGAAACAGGCGATCGGGGTGAAAGCTACCTTATGTAAGTATACATGTACTCATACCTCACTATCGTTTACGCAAGCGTAGTCGCGTTCATCCGTACATGAGTACGTACGTTTACAAAGACGTTTCGATCGAGAAAATCGCAGCGCGATCTTCTACTAGAGGCCACAGTGCAAAAGTTTGTGAACTCTCTCAGTGATTTCCTAAGAGCTACGAGAAAGAATACACACATATACGTAAGAGAGATACTTGTATGTATCTAGGATGCGCATTAAAGGCAATGGGGTATCATCGCAGAATGATAAAACAAAATTTAGAAATTTTAAAAATCTGTACATTGTAATTCTGTTCATTCGTTTTGTGAGTTATCTTTGTATCTAGATCCATTGTTAGACTGCCAACGTGAACATTATAGTTTTATTAGAGCGAGAAACAACCATATATGGTACTAGAAATTACCCGTGAAAGCCTCAAAAATATTAATCTTTATGTATACTTTATTATAGATTCTTCAAAATTATAGCTTTGAGCAAGCGGAGTCATTGGTTGGTTCTCCTACAATTCGTTTCTTCTTGCACTGTAAAAGAATGTAGCACTACTAATTAGGAGAATAGAAAATTTTTAAGAAAAATGTTTTTCATAATTTCCCTATGCCTTATGTTATGTATTATATTGAGGGTGAGATATAAAAGCAATTTTGTTGTACGAGTGTCGCTGGAAACGAATTTTTCACACGAACGCGAAGTTTAAAGGCACGCAAAGCTTCACATAGCGTACTCACACTCAGGGGCACGCAGACACACACACACACGCAGACACACACACACACACACACACATACATACATACACACATACATACACATACATATACACACACAACATGCAAGACTTGCCACGTCACCAGCACTCGGATCCGCGTCTATCTGTCAGTTTCCAGTCTCAAACAAGATGGATGGCTGGCGAATGGAAATCATGGTTGAAACCCAACCCCATACCCTTGCTTCCTTCCACTGTGAGAGAGCGCCCCTCCATTCTGTTTGCGACCACCCTTATGCCGAGAGGGCCACCTCCCCCGCGTTATTCCACACTTCGTTCTCGTATCATCCTCCTGCGCGTCTCACCCTTCTCAAAATACAAATATATTAGGAAGATCTATTCATTATGTATTTATATAATGAATAAATTTTTATCTAATAATTTATTATATTCCTATGTATAATTTTCTATATTTATTTATATAAACATATATTGTAATAATTGTATTACACACATATTTCGACCATAATATTATATTATAAATATAAAAGATTTTGTCTGAATTTGTCGTTTTAAGTAATAAATATGATGGAGGCATAGGAAAAAATTACGAAGAAAAAAAATTTTAAATATATTTTTTATTAACTCTGTAAAATTCTATATCTTATTCTATATTTTCCATGTATCTTATAATTTTTCACATGAGCATTAAAAAATACATTAATGAAAGTACTTCCCATCACTTAAAAAACGCTACGAATTAATTCCAACACCTAATATTTTGTATTGATTGTTGTTTTGTGCTGCTAGAATATAAATTGTTTAAATATTTCCAAATTTTATTCAGACCAGTGAAATCAGCAATGTCGAGTTGTTGGTACTCGCTTCAACAGAGCTGTCCAAAGCTGTCGCGCGTTGCTGGATTGCTGCATGTTTTCGGAAATGGTCAATTTGTTTGATTTGTTTAAAATTAAACAAATTAATCATCTTTTTTTTATATTTTATTTGATAATCTCGGAACCATACTTTGACCTGTTTCTTAATTAAAATCAAGTCAAATCATTAAATCATTTTCAATATTTGAATACATACGTTGAATTTTGCTAACTGCAATAATGTTTAGTGCAGAATATCATTTTCCAACGTTGTTAATTGTGCATTAATATAGGCCGTTCTGATTATGTTTTCTCTTTTTCTTTTTTTTTCAGTCACTAAAATAGAAAGTTCGTAATTGTTGCAAAGTAGATGAACTAATTTATGGAAAAATATATTTAATACTTTTAATAAGAAGATTAACTATAGATTAACTATAGATTAACTATAAAGATTAGTTTTTTATAGCAATTATAAAGAACGAAGGCAATTATTTTAAAACTTTAAACTATGCAATTTATTTGAGATAAAAGAAGACAGTAAAAGGACATCATTCATGTAATGATGTATGTTTCAGTAATTTGTGAAGACATCTCTAATTAAAAGATAATACGTAGTAATAAGTTTTTTCTTTAAAATAAAATTTATTAATCCTTTCTAATTGAGATAAAATAGAAGCTGCTAATGAAGAAATCTTGCTATAATTATCTTTGAAAGCAGATTTATTGCCAACAGCCCAGTCGACATCAACTAAAAATAACATAACATCTATGTTATAATTTCGCACTTAACAATGTGACTGTTATATAACTCTATGTATTATATTAAATTTATATTGCTGAATGCAAAATTATAACATAGATGTTATTAATAGTTGATGTCGACTAGGAGAAGGTTAAAATATTTTTGAGAATTTATCTGTTTGTTTTTATTTTTGTTATCTTACTTTAGTAAGAATAAAAAATTATTTATCATAATATTTTTTGTTTAAATAACAATTAAAATATTTATTTTAGATTAACAACATTATTTAATGTACGTGTTCTATGTTGTATTCTATATTATAATTGTATAATTCGAAAAAAATTACTTGTTATTAATTACTTAATCGAATATTCGAAAATATATGAGAATCAGCAACGCTGACAGGAAAGTACTGTCAAGGGTCGCCCAGCGGGAAACTCATCTACCCACAAGGAAGCCGCTACACCTGCTGAGCGTTTCAAAAGCCCAAACAGTAAAGGCGTGATATTTCGATTAAACGGTCCTATTGGGATTTATGACTGAAGATTAATCAGTGACGAAAATCGGATTAAAATAGATGGAGTATAGTTCCATTCAGTATACGAATTTATTGTACAAAGTTTTCGCTTTTACCAGTAAATAGCTCATAAATTAAACAAGTTATTCTTGTTAACACTGGGATCTTAATTGCAAAAGTTTGACTTGTGAAAAAATATGAATGGACTGTCTCATTAACTTAAATCAAAATATAAATGAACTGTCTCATTATCTGAATCAAAATTGTTGAAAATTTCGAAAAATTTCTGAAAAATGATATCGAATAATCAAAGAACATTCAATTTCATAACTTAAATAATTTATTGGTTTGTTTATATATTTGTATCCTCAGGATATACGTATTTTATATCATCCAAGATTTTCAAACAACGCATCCATATATCGATGCGCGATAATTTTTGACTTCATAGACAGACTTTTCTTTCGAACTTATGTTATGAAATAGCGTTGGCGAAGAGAAGGAAAAACGCGGATCGGTTTGGGGTCCAGACTTCGAGATACGAAACTGGGAGATTGATCAGCGTCATCCTGTCCATCTATCCCTGGACTCTTCTCCGGTATTTCTCCTCCCCTTTCACTACCGCGAGATTTTATATTGTCTTTTTGTCCGTTTCGCGTCTCTTTTCTCTGCGCTCCTCTCCTTTTCCCGCTTTCCTTTTCTTTTCCTTTTCTCTCTTCACAGAATCAGCCATTCGCTATCCGCGCCGGAGAGCTGTCTGCAGATCCGCGCCACCGGTTTTCCAACCTTCCTTGCCCACCCCAAGGACGAACATCCTCCGACTCTCGGCCACATCTACCCCTCACCGAAGCTTCCTCTGCGTCGTCTGAACGTCCTCTTTTTCTACGCCTGCTTGTTCCGTAGACAAAGATCGCCGCGATAGAAAAAGACGACCAACGGCTGTAGAAGGAGGATGGGAGTGAGTTGTAGGAGTGAGTAATACCATAGGAGAAAAAAAAAGAGAGAGCATCCTCTCGTTGCTTCTTTCATTCTTTTCTTGCAATGTTGATTGCAAACTTTTTGGATGGGATCACGCGTCCGCACCTTCTTCGTTTCACCTCCGAAAATTGTCTCATGCTTTGATATCCGTGCTGTAACTCATGAATAATTGAGAATTCATAAAATATATCCTTTCTAATAAACAAGATATGAAGATACAATTAAACATGCGAAGAAGCTTGTTTCTTAATATTCCTTTAAACAGAAATAAATGCATTTAACATATATCCAGTATATTATTGCATAATACAGATATACTTAATACTTAATATTATACTTTAATAGCCATTGCCTACATGCAGTTTTTCTTATATTTTTCAAATTTACATACATTAATAAATAATTGTCGCACATCATGCATGCGACTATAATCTTCAAGATATCGGGATGCGCACTGATATAGAGAACAACAGAGATGGCGAACGGAGCAAGATATTTCAACCGCAAGAACGAGCGAGCTGACATCAGGAAGAAGGAGAAGCGGGTATGAAGGGCTTGGTTAGAATATGGGGAGATAGTAGACAACGTGCATACGTATACAGAGACGGGTGAGTAAGGCGATGGAGGACAGGAAGGATGATGAGGGGACAGTGGGTTGGGAAGGGGGGCTCGGTTGAAGTAGGAGGGTAAACCTTTCCCGACCCTTAGCAACGCTCTCGCGACGCGCTATCCTGCGGATAACATCAGCGGCTTCAGGGCAGGAAATGAAAATCGCGCCGACACTGTTTAATTTAGATAAAAGCATATGTTACACGACGAATGGCGTCGCGGGATGGTATATCCTTGAAGAGGCCACATTATGTCTTTCCTCAGAAGGAATCTTTTCTCGGGAACGCACATCGGGCATGGGAACATTCTATTTTCGCGCACTTTTGTGCCCTCTGAATACATCTTGCACAATTCTTTGAGATGCCATGTTAAATTGCAATACAACATGTAATATATGTTTTGTCATATATTTAATATTTAATAATTAAAGAATTTATATATACATATATATATAAATTCTACAATTATTATACATTAAAATATTTTTTTAAAGGATACTAGTATGTATAATACATAAGATAAATATTTTTGAGAACTTAAAAAGAAAATAATAAATTTAATTATCAGATTTTCTGTTTGCATGTCCTAATTATTTACTTTTAAATATACATTTAATTTCAATAACTAATACATTTATGCGAAAAGTGATCTCGATCATATTGAGATATCGTGGTCGCGGACACCGAAGAAGACGGCGATATTCGACAAAATGAGTCGAAAATCGTTTTTACCGGGGATTGGGGACTTGGTTTCGCGCAAGAACCACCGGTGGATATGACGTGTTTTTATCGGCAGTACCTCGGCCAGACTCCGAAGAGCTGTCAACTTCAAGGCGGATGCCGAGATTCGCGCGAGCAGATAGAAAAGGCATAGCACTTTTATACTCTGGAGGTTAAAGTTTACGAAGTTATTTTGACTTTCGGAGTTGAATACCTCTTCCCATACCATACTTTGGTGGGAAAAGCAACCCTATCAACTTGGTTGACGTCTCCCGTCATAGCCACCCTCACCAAAATGTAGATCTTCCCATCATTTCTCTTTTGCCCATCACTTCTTCTCTTTTCTCTTATCCAATTATTGTTGTTTCTTCCAAGTTTACTTTAATTAAATTTCTTATATATCTTTTACACATTTTTATGTATTCTTTCTTATATATCTTTTAACAGGGTTTTTTTAATTTAAAATATTCTCAGAAAAGGAATTTCATTAAATTTTTATAGTTTCTTTAATTTTTATATTTTAAATATTATACTGCTCATTATTTTGTACTATTTTTTTCTTCAGTCTATTGTATGTCGTTTCCTTTTTGCTATTTCTTTTCTGTTGCCTATTTGATGTCCCCGGTTTAAGTAAAAAGTTAGCAATCTTATAATAAAACTTTGCTGAATATAAAATCAGTAGCCCCCCGTCTTTCTTCACAGCCAACTTGTGTTGTATTTTAATGGAACGAACTTACTATGGTTGTTGTGTACATCGTCAGTGCGATATTCACAATTTTTTATGACTGTTATTATATAAATTCCAATGTATTAGGTGTTGGAATTAATTCGTAGCGTTTTTAATGAAAGAATGTTATTTATTTCACATGAGCATTAAAAAATACATTAATGAAAGTACTTCCCATCACTTGTAAAACGCTACGAATTAATTCCAACACCTAATATAATATTCATAAGTATACAATTTTGTAACTGCACGTTTTATACATCTAATTTGAGAGAACTGCATGACATTGTCCACATGTATCAATCAAGAATCTTAAAATTTTGGAACAATTATCATCATGATGATAATATTACAAAGTTATACAGACCTTACCCGTTAGAAGATATGTGGTCAACGGGGACACCTACCATAATGCCTACGGCATGCTTTCCTTCAGACGTGTTGCAAGTGTATGTACAAGGGTAGCGCGGGGAGTTGCTTGCGTAACGGATGATATATTATCGGGCGCTGTTTGCACTTTGACAACATCGCGGGGCATAAAAACGCTGACTCATTTAAAGCGGCCCCCGGGATTGTGCGGTGCTTCGGGAGGATCCGCGTGCCGGCTTCCCTCTACCTCTCCCTTCACCCTCGAGCCCTCTTTCTCTCTCTTTTCCGATCCTCCGGTGTTCCAACTACCCGCCCGGCTTCCCTTTTCCGTTCCGGCGCAAACCACCACCACCACCATCACCACCACCACCACCACCACCACCACCCCAATTGCACCCCCAACGTTCTCCTTTCCACTACCCTCGCTTTGTCCACCGGCTCCTCGTCCCAGCTTCTACCGCAATTCGGCCCCGCGACTCTCCTGCGGGTCCCACAAACCTACCCAGCATCTCGTGACTCTCTTTTCTTCCGCGCCAACGGCAACCGGACTCATCCTTCGTTCGCTTTCCCGCCTTCGTTCTCTCCCGCCGTCCCGTTTACTCTCACTCCTCTCTCTCTCTCTCTCTCTCTCTCTCTTTGCGTTACCCGCAAACTGCTTCCAGCATTTCCCATGACCTGCTCTTTCTCTTGCTCTTTTCTTAAAGATTTCTCCTTTCCTCCAGATCCATTGAAGCGTCGACCAACGATCGCTTATAATTGCAATTCTTGGCATAATTTGTATTAAGGCTAATTAATTGCAATGGTTTGTATAATTCGTTTCACTATCATTTTCTTCTTCATCTATTCGTAATCAATGAATGTTCGCTCTACTATAATGATTACTATTAGACTGCTTTGCAAGATTTTTTTTTACAAGCAAGTTTTTTTTCTATATTTATAACTTTAGATTTCTTTGAAAATTTTATGTAAAAGAATATATTTAAATTACATTCTAAACTGACTCTAAACACACATATACATATATCTTGTGCTCTTTAGTTCTCCGGATTAAGAATTTTACGCAAAAGTTGATAAGTGGAATGGGTTGAAATGTGGGTCGCAAGGCTCCCTCGAGTGGATTCAGTGGGGTATTCAATGGGGTAAATGGGGTATTGCATATTAAATGCGCAGATAGGGGGTTATAACGGTAAAAGGAGGAAGCGCGGAATAGCTCGGGATTTAAGAGGAACGTGTGGAACAATGTGTGTAAGCTTGATGCGGTTATTGATTACGGATCACTGTCATTGACGGCCCGTCATATGGAAACAGTGATCGTTTTTCGTCACGGACACACCGATGCTTGTAATAATTTTGAAAATGTCAAAAATTGTTTAAATTTCAATTAATGAATTAGAATTATTTCAGTTAATAATAGATTCAGTTAATAAATAGATTTCTATTCTATAAATTTAATTGTATATTATATCACTGAAGCTCAAAATTATTATTTATTTAATTCTCTCATGTAACATTATAAATATATTACAAACACTATATTATACATACACATTTATATACGGAATGTTTCTGAAATAACGCCCACAATCATATAGTGATATTCCTAATAAAAAAATTGAGTCGACAAGTCCTTTATTATTTTGCAATTTTTGCAATAGTTAACGAGATATTAATTTCTAAAGATTGCCAAATAAATGAATAAAATCAATGTATAAGACAATTTTAAGATATTTTTCAGTGTTTTTTGTGAATATTTGAAAGATGTTTTTAAAGAATTCTTAAAGATATCTTAAAGATATCTTAAAGTTGTCGACTTTAGACATTTTTGTTCATTGAGCAATTCAATGAATAACAAAAAAAAATATTGCGAAAATTGTGAAACATTAAAGTTTTTGATTCATTGTCAGTTTTTTTTATTAAGAAGCAATATATGATTAGTGGTCGTTATTTCGGATACATCCTCTGTGTGTGTGTGTGTGTATGTGTATATGTGTGTGTACGCATACACAGAATTTAACTTTTATTAATTTAAAAATAATTGATTTTTCTTTAATAAAGATATTAAAATAGTAGTATTTCTTCTATGTTATAAGCGATTAAGATTGATAGAAAGCTTTTTCAGTTCAAAGAATGAATAATAGATTTTCGAATTATTTATTCGCTTTATTATATATTATAATTTCATTAAAAATTTAGTAATTTATTTAACATTTGTTTTGCGCATGCATGTATTATATATGTATCAGTTATTAAAATAAGATATTAGTTTATTGAAATAAGGTATATATAATATGTATAATATAATTAGAAAATTACATATAAAAGGAAATTAATTATAATATTTAAATAAATCATTTTCTCCTAGTTATTTTTTTAATTACAAAATTTCTCATTTGTAAATTATTTTTAGTTGCTAATTAAAAAATTGTTGATATCTTAATTTAAAGAAAAATTTATTTTAAATTGGGGAACAATTTAAACAATCTGTTATTACATTTAAGCATATATTATCATAAAAGAGAAAAGTTTGTATCTCTAATAATAATTAGTGTAAATCGCAACGGGGATAGAAAGCCAGAAGGGAATGGACAGAACAGGAGGCTCGACGACGTATGTCCCCAAAAGCCGCGGAGCTTAGCGTTGAGTGATCGCCGCTCAGTCGACCTCGTAACCGGCGCCATATATCATTCAAGATGGCTGGCATCTCACGCTGTTCAGAGAGAGACAAGGGTGACAACCCTCCCGTCTCTGCTTGCTACTTTTGACTGGCTATGTCTACGCCTTCGCTGATAATCGTGTTAAGGAGATATCAACCCTAAAGCGGTGGTTTTTCCCTACTGCAAACTATTAGTGTAAAAAGTATCGCTAAATGTGTGATTGCAATAAAATTGTGCATTAATAAAAACACTTTTAATTATGTATTAATTATAAAGATTTTTAATTATTAAATAATGTAATAAGATACATTCTTTAATAATTAAAAAGGTTAAATGTTTTACAATATATTAAAATTTTATGATTATTCTATTCGCGTAGGAAAGAGGAATTAAAATAAAACATTAATTTAAATAAAAAATAAATTAAGAAAATATAAATTAAGAAGAAT